CCTCATCAAACGATGCACCTTCGCACCCTGAGGTTCGTTTCTCAACGAGGAATGCTTCTCGGGTCTCAAATTACAACGAAGATGATGATGATTCCATGTTCGAGGATGACCCAGAGGAAATGACGCAGAACTATTGGGTGAATACCGTGGAGGATGATCGCCCAGCTGTCGATATTGTGCTCAATCATCGCCTCAAGGATGGTGTGGACCCAAGTAGCCTCGACGTCGGCCGCCACGACTTTGAGTTCTACATCAAATGGCAAGGCAAATCCCATTACCATGCCACATGGGAAACGGCCGAGAGTCTTGCCAACTGTCGTAGTACCCGCCGCCTTGACAATTACATACGCAAAACACTGTCCGAAGACGTCCGCCTCAAGAATGATGCAGATGTTGCCCCCGAGGATCGGGAGAAATGGAACCTCGATCGTGAGAGGGATGTAGACGCAATTGAGGATTACAAACAAGTTGAGCGAGTCATCGGAATGCGCGAAGGCGACGAAGGGACGGAGTACTTCGTCAAATGGAAGCGCCTGTTTTACGACTCTTGTACATGGGAGAGTGAAGATCTCGTTAGTAATATTGCTCAGCGCGAGATAGACCGTTTTCTAGATCGCTCCTCTCGCCCCCCGGTGTCAGACAAGTCCGAAACCAACCCAGCCACGCGCAAGTCATTCGAAACAATCAAGAGCACACCTAGCTTCCTACAGAATGGCCAGCTGAAGGAGTTCCAGGTGAAAGGTGTCAACTTCATGGCTTTCAATTGGGTGAAGAACCGCAACGTTGTGCTGGCCGACGAGATGGGTCTTGGTAAGACTGTCCAGACCGTTGCATTCATCAACTGGCTACGCCACGTGCGCCGCCAGCAAGGGCCTTTCGTGGTCGTCGTCCCACTCTCGACGATGCCATCCTGGGCTGAAACCTTCGACCACTGGACCCCTGACCTAAACTATGTTGTCTACAATGGCAATGAGGCTGCACGCACAGTTCTGCGTGAACATGAGCTTATGGTAGACGGGAACCCCCGACGCCCTAAGTTCAATGTACTCCTCACAACATATGAGTATGTCCTGCTGGACTCGGCCTTCTTGAGCCAGTTCAAATGGCAGTTTATGGCCGTTGATGAGGCACATCGGTTGAAGAATCGCGAATCTCAGCTATATTTGAAGTTGCTCGAGTTCAGGTCTCCGGCTCGACTTCTCATCACCGGAACTCCTATTCAAAACAACCTTGCAGAACTCTCTGCCCTTCTAGACTTCTTAAATCCGGGCCTGGTTCATATTGATGCCGACATGGACTTGAACGCAGAAGCTGCCTCTCATAAGCTTGCGGAGCTGACGAAAGCTATTCAACCCTTCATGCTACGTCGAACGAAGTCGAAAGTGGAGTCTGACCTTCCCCCCAAGACCGAAAAGATCATTCGCGTCGAGCTCTCCGACGTCCAACTGGAGTACTACAAGAATATTCTCACCAAGAATTACGCTGCGCTCAATGACGGAGCCAGAGGTCAAAAACAATCACTTCTGAACATCATGATGGAGCTGAAGAAAGCAAGTAACCATCCATTTATGTTCCCCAATGCCGAAGCCAGGATTCTGGAAGGTAGTACCCGCCGGGAGGATGTTCTGAGGGCAATGATCACCAGCAGTGGTAAAATGATGCTTTTGGATCAGCTTCTTGCCAAGCTGAAACGTGACGGTCACCGTGTGTTGATCTTCAGTCAGATGGTTAAGATGCTTGACATCCTCGGTGATTATATGGAATTCCGCGGATATACATATCAACGACTGGATGGTACTATCCCTGCGGCTGCACGTCGTTTGGCAATTGAACACTACAATGCTCCTGGAAGCAATGACTTTGCGTTCATTTTGTCTACCCGAGCCGGTGGTCTTGGAATCAACCTTATGACGGCAGATACTGTAGTCTTGTTTGATTCTGACTGGAACCCCCAGGCTGATCTTCAAGCCATGGCCAGAGCGCACCGTATTGGACAGACGAGGCCGGTTAGTGTGTATCGCCTGGTGTCAAAGGATACCGTGGAGGAGGAAGTGATTGAGAGAGCTCGAAACAAGCTTCTACTCGAGTTCATCACAATCCAACGTGGTGTTACTGACAAGGAGGCGTCAGAGATTCAAAACAAGATGGCTCGTAGTGGAATCTCGGTCAGCGAGCCAAACTCAACAGAGGATATATCACGTATTCTCAAACGTCGTGGCCAGAGGATGTTCGAGCAGACTGGTAACCAGGAGAAGCTTGAACAACTCGATATCGACTCAGTCCTCGCAAACGCAGAACTTCATCAGACCGAACAGGCTGAGGAGATTCAAGCTGACGGTGGCGAAGAGTTCCTTCGAGCCTTCGAATATGTTGACATCAAGGTAGACGACCTTAGTTGGGATGACATCATACCCAAAGAACAGCTGGAGGAGATCAAGGCGGAGGAGAAGAAGAAAGCCGACGAACGCTATCTTGCTGAAGTCATTGAGCAGAACCGACCTCGCAAGCGCAATGCACCGGGTGATGCACGGGATACCCGTGAAGAACGCAAAGCCAAGAGATTAGCGAGAGCACAGGTCAGTATGGAGAATGGCGATGACTCCGACTCAAATGCTCAGTCGGACCCGAAACGACCCCTTGTGGAGAAAGAATACCGCCATCTTCTGCGTGCCTACCTTCGTTTTGGAAATATGGTAGAACGCGAGGAGGATGTCGTTCGTGAGGCACGTCTCCTTGACCGTGATAGAGAGACGGTCAAGGCTGCGCTCCGCGAAATAACTGACAAGGCTGCTGATCTGGTGCGGGAAGACATAGAGAAACTCGAGGCCCTTGAACACGCTGGTAAGGTGCCGACGAAGAAAGAAAAGAAGGCGGTCTTATTCGATCTCCATGGAGTCAAGCGTCTTAATGCGTACACTATTGTGGAACGTCCGACGGAAATGCGTATCTTGAAGGAGGCGACGGCCGCCGTGCCTGACTTCAAGAATTTCCGGATACCGGAAGCCACTAAAGCCGCGGACTATACGTGTCCATGGGGTGCACGCGAGGACGGGATGCTGTGTATCGGTATTGCGCGGCACGGATATGGTGCGTGGACGCAGATCCGAGACGATCCCGACCTTGGCCTTGGCGACAAGTTCTTCCTTGAAGAACACCGTGTTGAGAGGAAAAATGAACGTATGAATGCCGAGGACAAGACAACGAAGTCTCCAGGAGCCGTTCACCTTGTTCGTCGCGCAGACTATCTGTTATCTGTTCTTCGTGACAAAGTCACCAACGGTTCGAGTGTCAGCGCGAAGAGAGCTGTCGAGAATCATCACCGGAATAACCGGAAAGGTTCCCGTACGCATGCCAGCAACAGCGTCTCGGCTTCGCCCGCACCGTCTCTTTCTCGCAGAGGCCACCGGGAAACAGAACGTTCCAGGCATCGGTCTCATACCCACGGCGCCAGGGATAGTGTTGAACGACACCATACTCCCAGCCACGATCGACCCAGATCCATGCATGAAGGCGAACGAAGCCGTCATCGAACCTCCGACGCATCCAGTGAGGACATTCGGCGTCGTAAGCCTCATGAGAATGGCTACTCCGCCGGCAAAGAGGACATGGCTCGCTTGTTCTTCAAGCCCATTCGCGAGAATCTGAAGAAGGTGTCAGCCGTTACTAAAGAGAACTTCCCGAGCAAGGCTGAAAGGGCTACGGAGTTGAGACGTCTACTTGGAAAGGTCGGTGAATTCATCGGTCAAAATCTGAAGGGCCAGGGCTCCATGTCGTCTTTGGAGACTCGTTTGTGGTATGTCCAATGCAATCCGGCTTCTGTTCCGAACAAAGTATACTGACTCCCTTAATAGGCAATATGTTTCGGTACACTACTGGCCCAACAAAGACGCCGGAGGGGCTAAACTTCAAGAAATGTATCATAAACTGATCGCAATCCCTAAGGAGCCTGCTGCTTCCAAGCCAGCCTCCAACGGAGAGTAGATACCGGTTTTCTAATCCCGGTATCTGCCAGCGAAAGGATGTCAAGGGTCTTGTTCTTTACATGGAGTTCTTCTTTTTGCTTCTATTCATGTTAAAAGGTACATATGCATCATTTGGGTTAGCATGGCGACGGCGTCTGGTATGATCTACGAATAAGGAGTGTTGTGTGAGGTTGACCCCATGAGTGGCCTTCTATGATGTTTGCATGCATGGCAGCTATTTCTTTGGCTCTTAACGTCTTGCGGGTTTCCCGCGTATTTGGAGCATCGGGATTTGTGATGTGTTCACATATATCGTTTCCTATTCCTCTTTCTATCGCTCATCATTCGCCTCCCTCCCATATACCTCCAGAATGATGAGCGGCGTTATTTGTTCTTCCTCCGATATCGAATCCGGGAAAGAAAAGAAGAAAAAAAAAACACCCAGCTGTTGCCATGATTGTTTTCTTAGCCCTTTTTTCCCTTAAACCATACCATCCGAGCAGGGCTCCTCTTATATCCTTCGAATTCATGTATCTTCTTTTCAGACCATCAACATCGTCATCATCATTATCATTATCGGGCTACTTTACTATTACTATTCCCTGGAGTTTGATCTCTTTCTACTACGTTGATTCTAGCCTGGGAATGAATGGATATCCATCTTGTTTTTGCTTTTCTTAATTTTGTATCGACGTGTCCTTAGACCTTCGATAGTTGTTTCTTATTTTTTCAACAGGAAAGAGTGTTGTGTTCCCACTCCATTGTCTAGGATACGTCTTGAAGGCTGCTACTGCTTGGCATGCTCGTTCGACTTGGTGTTGACAAAGACATGCGTGCGAGGAAAAAGAAGAGGCGCGGAGTGCATTTGTCACTGGTTCTCTTTCTCTTCTCCTAATGGAGTTACTACAATCAGACCACATTTCAACAAACAACAACTATAAGGGTTACATGCATGCAAATGAATCAAGGTACTTGATTTTTATTTCTTTTCAATAGTAGTGACTCCATGCTATCATTCAATATTGGAAGAAAGAAAGGAAGCGCCAATCCCATTTCGTAAGGTTACAAACACTCAGCAAACTAGTAAAGACCAGGATATTTTGCGGAAACGAAAGCGAAAGCGAAACGAAATGAAAATGAAATGAACTAAACCGGAATTGATCGAGTCCCTGCATGTCCCGTGACGTGGTAAGATAATGGAGACAAAAGGTGTATAAGAAAAGGAGGGGAAAAAAAAAGAATGGAATATGAGTAGTGGCACGTTTTTTATCACAAGAGACGTGATGTGACGTGGCCCAATTCCGTGGCGAAGTCATTACCAGCAGCAGCCCCAAGAAAAAAAAAAGATTCCCAAAAAAAGCCCCCAAAACAAGAAGGTAAAGTACAAGAGGAAAAGGGTAGGAAGAGCAATAGCAAAGGCAGGAGTGATCAAGTCAAGAAGGATATATTAAGTGACCACCGCCATCAATACCGACCATCATATCATGGCGGAACAGACCCAGACCCCTGGTCCTGTGCAACATCCATCTCCGTTGGCTCTGACTGCCGTTGCTCCGACTGCGGTGCATTATCCGTCCCGTTCGCCGGCGCAGACTTGGCCACGCTGAATTTCTCATCGAGGAGCTTAAACAATCGTACCTCGGCCTCCATCAAGTCATCAAAGATCGCTTCCTTCTCCATCCACGATTCCTTTCTCTTGACGCGAATCTTCTCCCATGCGTCGCGTAGCTCCGCACCATCCTGCTGTGCCCAGTGAATCTGTCTCAGAAGCAGCCGATACAGTTGCGGCCCTTCAAGCAGCATCTCGTAGGTGTCGAACTCCTTCTCCAATCCACCAGGAGGTACGTGGAGATCGTCCTCCAGTCCTGCTGCCTCCTCATTGGCGCTTTCGCTGTGATCTCCTGCGTCGTCCTTCGGCGGGAACGACAGCTTCAGCTTCAACCGTTGGATCTTGCCAGACGGGGTCGCGGTCGGCGTTCCTGCCGCCGAAGCAGCGACGTTGTGGTGTTTGGGTACGGGGTCGGAGGGGCGAAGCGCCTCTGTTTCGTGAACAGTCCTCATGTGTTTGGCAAGGGCGTCTGATCGAGTAAAGCTGCGGTCGCATTCTATAGACAAAATAGAAGATCAATGTTAGACGTTGCCAAGGGATAACGAGCAACGTATGACGGGACAGGTCTTGGAAAACTTACCAGGTAGAGCGCAATAGAAGGGCTTTTCTCGCGTATGGCTTCTCATGTGTGCGCGCAGCGCGTAGCCACTTGCGTGAGTTTGACCCTTTCGACTGCAATCGGACCATTCGCAGGAGTACTTCTTCTGTCGGCTCCCGACATGTTCTTCATGTATGTGCTTCACGAGGCCGTCCATATTGCCGAGATCACCGGCGTCGCATCCATCCCAGCGACAGACGGTGACCTGGTCGTTGCCTTGGCCGCTGTAGTCGTCATCCTGACTGCCGCCTATGAGAGCGAGGGTGTTGGGAGAGTTGGGAATGTCGCCGGAGGTATCGGACGAGATGGAGGTGGAGGGAGAAGGAGGAGGGAGGTCATCTTGGAAAGTGGTCGAAACGGGAGTATTGCGATCCCAAGAGGCAACGCCAGTGCGACGACGCTTTGAGGGAGGCATGTTGGAGCCGGAGGGGGAGAAGGCTTGCTTTAGGTCGTCGCGATCCGACATGTCGTCGGAAGCAATGGAGGAGAGGGGGGAGCCCGGAGATTCCGTCATGGTGGTTGACAGGAGAGGAGGGCCCGCTTTCAGCAGAGTTGGTGAGTGAATAACGGGGGGGAACTGAGCAACAACTGTGGGCCTTGAGGAGTGTTACTGGCACTGGCTGGAGGAGTGAGCCAGGTTTGAGATGTTTGGAAGTTCGATATCCGGCGCCGGAGTATACACTGGGCTGAGCACCCGGCACGTGATGAGGCTATTGCGCCGCCAATTTTCTTCGCGCCCGAAATTCCTTTTCTTTTCTTCTCCTCTTTTACACTTCCCTGGTCCAAGTAACTGGGAAATAACGCAACTTGGGGATTCGCCTTGAGATCTAATGTGACTCAATTACTCTTCCAGTGGCTAATTGAGCTACTTTCTAGCTAATTGTCTCTTGTTTTCGTGATCTGTCTAACAGATCCTGCCCACACATTGTTTGAGCAGGGTAAGTTGCCGCCAATTTCCTACCACTTTATTGTGTTTTGAATCTGCCGCAACTTCCATGATGAATTAATCAAGAATTCTGCAATCCTGACAATCTCCTTTTTGTGAGATTGCATGTTGACTCTTCTACACTTGATCTGACCCCTCGTCTGTTTTCATTGTGTCCATGAAGCTTTCCATTGCTGCCACGTCAACACAAGCTGACAATTCTGGCTTATTCAGGATCTTATTATCTCTCCTATACTATACACATATATAGCAATGATATCATATTCATTATCAAGAAATCGCCAAAGCACATGCCCTATGAAGACCGTACAACCGTAGCTTAGTAGCGACTTCCGACCACCTGGATCCGTTCCAAAATGCCCTTAAGCTCGTCCATCTCAGCATCACTAAGGCGAGGCACTCCCTCCAGGTTCTGAGTAACCTTGTCAACCGTCGTACCACCGGGGATGGGAATAATGGTGGGCATTCCCGGCTTGCCGCTGAGAGTGAGGATCCAAGCCAAGGCGATCTGTACAGGAGCCACACCCTTGCGCGTGGCCAGGGCCTTGACCTCATTGACCAGCTTGATGTTTTCCTTCATGGCTTCCTCCTGGAACTTGGGTAGCATTCTGCGGAAATCGCCCTCAGGGATCTCATTCACACTGGTGAAAGCGCCGGCCAACACACCGCGGCCCAAGGGCGAGTAAGCCACAACGGGGATGTTGAGCTCAGCGCAAACCTTCGCGACGTCATTGTTGAGGATTGTGGTGTCAAAGAGGGACAATTCAACCTCTACCGCTGCGATCGGGTGGACCTTGTGACTGTGTGATTTCGTCAGCTGCTATTCCTTTTTGTTCGTGTAACCAGCTTCTGCAAGTAGATGAATGTGTGTAGCAACAACGTACGCTCTGCGAATAGTCTCTGCATCCACCTCACTCAACCCAATACCTCCGATCTTGCCCTCCTTGGCATATTGCGCCAGGACAGTCACTTGCTGCTCCACCGGCACGTTCGGATCCTGTCTAGCGCATTCGAAGATATCGATCTTCTTCTTTCCATCCAGCACGCGCAGACACTCGTCCACACTCCGGCGGATGTTGGCCTCGGAGCTATCGGGAGTAAGCTCTCCACGCTTCAAGCCACCCTTGATACTCAGGACGACCTTGTCGGCGTTCTCGGGGTACTTGGTGAAGTATTTGTTCAGGAGGTGGCACGAGTTGTAATCGGGTGTGCCGTAGAGCTCGCCGGCGTTCCAGAAGTTGGCTCCGAGCTTGAGAGTGGCGTTCAGGGTTTCGAAGCATTGCTCGTCAGAGGGAGGCTGGGGGACCCAGGTCATTCCTTTGATTTGACATCATTATCGTCAGCTGCGAAAAAGAATTATGGTGACTGCGGGGTTGATTGTTTTCCAACATACTCATGGTTCCGTAGCCGGTGTGGCCGATTTCGCGTCCGTTGAGGGAAGGCATTTTGCTGGAGGTGTAGTGGCGATTGGGGCGGTTTGTGGTGTTCGATTGGAGGTTAAGATGTGAAGCTCTTGAAGAATAAGAGGTGATGATGGATGGTATTTAAGCTTGAGTTTGGGTCGGGGTTGCAGCCCGCAATGAAGAGGGTCGATGAGGGGCTTTTTATCTCTGCTTTCCCCCGCCTCAACACCAATATTCGGATTTCCTCGGACATCGTCCTGGATTGTCGCTCTTGACTCACAATTGGATACGAGACCCGCCGATTGTCATTGAGAGTTACGATTAGATTCGATGAGTTCTGTGGATCGGCCGCGGTATTAATCATGGAGGCCGAGGGGTCCTTCCCGGATTTAGCTGGAGTTAAGCTCGTAGACCGACGGACGGAAGTTAAATCCACCAAGAACGGAGAATCATATAGATGGACGGAGACCGAGAGGTTCTAGGATCACCAAGTCAATTTTCTACTTCAAATACTAACTCATTATATAGCTTCCTTGCTATTGGACTTCGTCAATCGTGACACGCCGCTGAATACTTTTTCACAAAAACAGAAGTATAGGAGAGACGTCGAGACAAACAAAACACCCGCCAACCAAACATTACAATCCCAAAAGAGTTGAGACAACAGAGATAGAAAGTATACTCTCAGCATCTCTCAGTGAAGCGTGTGCTCGTCGCTGCTATCTAGAGCATCCTTGACAGCGTCCTGTATCTTCTGCATCAAGGCCTTCGCGAACCCTGAAGCGTCCGATGCAGGGTTCGGAAGGGTGTTACCCTTACTGTTCTTACTGTTGTCAGAGTATTTCTCGTAATCTTGGGAGGTCGAGTCATCTGCAACCTTATTGCTATCCTTCCCATTATCCGTCGCCTTGTCATCATCTTGATCGACATCGTTGTTTTGGCTGGTCACGGTCTTTGTAGGGCTGTTGCTGTCATCAATGACATCAGGCTGATCAGACTTATCAGGCTCATTGTCCGACTTCCAGTGGTTGAGCTTCGTCAAGTCATGAAGTCCGATAGAGTCAAAAAGGGTGTCGATAAGATCACTGTTCTCGTCGTCCGGGGTATCGGCTTGAGGGATCATTCGCTGTGGCGAGAGAGTCAGCTAATTGGGTGGGTGTGAGTATACAACCAAGAATACTTACCGGGTCAGGAGATCTCGAACTCACCGCTCTCGATACAACGTCCTTCTTCGATGTAGATACAGGATATGCGAGGGTGAGAGAAGAGAAGGTGAGGAATGTGAGGACCATGCAGGTCACTGATGGCGTCTTGGTGTGCATGGTGTTGTGAGAGGGCAGTGCGATGTGGTATAAAAACCAAGAGCAAGAGTACGAAAGGGCAATGGAAACCGGCTAAGTGCTTTGAGGAGTAATTTTGAGGTGAAATTAAATTTGAATGTTCGACGAGACAGTCGAGCCTAGATATACTCCTCGCCGTTGCCCCGGACCCCCTGTGCGATGAGACTTTGCCGACGTGCGGAATGGAAGGGCTGGATAGATGTCGCGGGGGGAATACCTCGCGTTTTGCGAGATCGCGTCTCAAGATAAGATCCAGCCATGAATTGGATTTTGCACGCCACTTATTTCTCAAATTCTGGAAGTTTGCTTGCTATTAGGAGGTAACTAGTCCTCTCAGGCTAAGTTGATACCACCACCACTACCGCACCGAAACACCAAGTAGTCAGAAGTTCTATTTCGTGATACCCCCATGGGCAAAAAGCAAAGCCGCCATTGTTTTACTCAGTTATCCAGGCCCGATCGAAATGAGACAGTAGCATAGGCCCTAAATGGTAGGGGTTGACCATCTCGCATTCCAGGGGCCTTGAACATTCCAGCCGGTTGCTTGCCGGACAGGGATAGGCTCGCCACATATCGATATGAGATCATCCAAGGCCAACTGGAATTGAATTCCCAGGAATGTATTCTATCTTTCGAGAGCCGTACCTGCTGGCTGGGAGATATTAGCGGAACGTTCATCCCGACCACTGCAGATCTGTAGTCTGCAGGCGTCGCGCCCATAGTAGACTTACAGATAAGAAGTCAAGCACTCAACAATCAATTGATAGTTTTCTAATTCTCCGTAGTAGTCCTGTAGCAGTGGCCTTGTCCGTAAGAACGTGTTCGTCACTCATCGCCGTTAGCCTAACATCTGTGTCGCACATCTGTGCCAGTCCATTCTGATTTTTCCTCAACTCGGCGCAGATAGCTCCATTGTTCTACACTGGAAGCGTAACTAGGCCAACCACCTCAACACTATGCTGTGCCTCGCTGTACTAAGGCTCACGAGGCTGCTGCATCTCGACAACTGCAAGATTCGTTCGCCACGTGCGCACAAAGTTTCCACCGAGGAGGGACCAAATGTCTCAACAGTAATCCCGCCTAGGGCACAATGCCATGCCTGAGTCATCTATGCCTCAAGGCTTGACTTCGAGACGTATCGGTATCTTGTGTATTGCTGAATGGACTAGCGACAGGATGACGGACTTGAGCGCGCATTCATTGGTCTGGATGAGATGGAGGGTAAGCTGAGGGCGGTTCTGGGGCGATGTCGACATCGAGGTAACCGGTTAGCACCCAGCGCATCGCTCGTAATGTCTCACTATGAGGAGACCTCTCAAGGCAAACGTCAGCTGTCAAGGACATAGGGCAGTTACTGATTATCAGCCAAAGGTAACTAACAAGTAATCTAGACTCGATACTGCAAGTTCATGGTTATTTCTGATCATAGATGAAACATGCAGGATGTCAAATCCACAGGCATATACAGGTTATCTTCGCCTGACTTGGGCTGGCTGAGCGTCTACCAAGGTGCGTTGATTGGGCAGTCATCGTCATCATCCAATGCCAAAAGACACGTAAGTGCGTCGTCGTGGGGCCATAACTCTCTCTCTGATAATTGCACAACAGCGTTCAACACGGTGCAAGCACTCAGTGAACGACCACATCCATCTGCAATCCCAAACAAGTAGTCCAGTCGTATCAAACGAGGGTCCAACACCCAGCAGAACAAACCTCAGACCCTGCCTGGGACCTGCTGCAAGAGGCCAAGCCAGCCAAGAGCCATAGTACGCATACAATCAGCCCATTTCCCACCTGCAAACGTATCCCCTTGACCACATGAACCAACCAACGCTCATGCAAAGCGCCTTCATTTCGGCATACGTGATCAGTCTCAAGCAGCAGTAGCAGCAGTAGCCGCCCCCCAAAAGCACCCAAATTCAAGGGTCCTGCCCCGTGGCTGCTTACTAGCCTACAAGCCTGACTCGCTGAGGGGTGGCGCCCGTTATACTTTGCTAGACGACAGTCTGATCCTGTCACGCATATGTCCAGCGGCATTTACTCGTACGTCCACTACGACCGAGAAGGAATGATCTTCTCTGCAGGCTGCGCCGCCGTGGTTTAGTTACTTAACCTTGATATGTTGGAGTAATTCCTCCAGTGTTGGCTGCGTAAGGCCTGCGGTAGCAGCAGCAGCATGGGCGGCGCGCGCACGAGACCTCCGCACTTACAAGGCGCTGATCGAGATCAGTCAACGCAGGAAAGTAAACTCCGTCCCACGACGAAGAAAGTGCTTGGCCGTACGGGATTATGCCTGGAATAATCCGTTCATAATGAAGGTGCGTATACACATACGTAGCCAAGTCGATAGGAAAGCCGAAGGGGGAAAAGGGAATCCGAAACGTCGGGGGCGCCTCCTCCCCCTTCGTCTTCGTCAAAACGCCCTCATCACGACATCGTATCATCTCTGACGGGATGACTGACTGAATGAATGAAAAGACGCTACGTAGACCTCTTCGGGGATGTGTGTGTGCCTTGCACCGATTCGTTTTGAGTTAACCCCGATGAAGGCCACACTAGTTGGTAGGAGCAACAGGCAGAAAAATTTCGATGCCACGGTTCAGGAAGCAAATGAGGCGAAAAAATGGAAAGGAAAATGAAATAAAAAGTTAAGGGAACCCTTAATTGAGGTCCGCCCCAATAGCTAACGGAGGAGCATCCCCGCTTCCATCTTGAATTTCTTCGTTCTTTTACATATCTATACTAGTCTAGTTGGAGAGCCCTAAGCAATTGCTCGGCGACGCTAGGCTGGGCCCCACTGGGCACCGGAGCATTCGTATGCACCTACGTATCTAGGTGTCAAGGGAAATGATCCAAGACGGAGGGTCATGAAGTCAACGTGATTACGGGGTGTAAACAATGAGATCGGCTCTATACATGGTATGAACTTGTATCCTCGGTACGATCGTGGCCGTTCTGGGGTCATCAGGTACCATGGGATGGGCAGCATGGATTGTGTGTGGGTGTGGTGTGGGTGTGTACCGTGTCATGGATGTAGATTAGAATCGATGAAGGAAAACAGGGTATCTTGGTTAGTGTTTGGTTCGACACCTGATCGGTCCCTAACTAAGCGGTCGTTTTACCCCGTAGTTTGTGTGGCTTACGTATGTTCCCAGTCTAACACCAGGTGATCCAGTCTAGTTGCTTCGTGTTGACCCTTCATCCCCTCTCTTTCTGACTCTCTCTCTCTGACTCTCTAGCCTGAAGATAGTGGCATCGAATTGAGCCCTGAAAAGCATAGCTGAACCGGACCTTCAGCCAACAAGCCACCGGGCGACAGTCTAGAACGGAGGGGGAAAGCGATTAGACCTCAAACAGATTAGTCTCCGGCTAATTCATGCGTATCTGAGGACTAATCTAATTCTACGCGCGGCATGTCAAATCTCGGACCCCACTGAGTGACGTCTCTGCTTACGCAGCTGGCGTTTGCTAGTGGTGGTGGTGAGGTGAATGGTGTGGGAAGTGTGGACTGTGGATATACCTCCGAGGTGGGTAGTTTAGATAGAAAAGTAGTTGAGTTTAGTTGTATTGTTGGACGGAAGAGACAAGGCGTCTTTGTATGGACAATTGGAATCGATATCGGCTAGGGTTAGTTTGAGTTCAGTTGGATCCTGCGTGACACCACTTCGATACTCCGACTACACTTTTATACTGTACAATCTATCAAAATGATATGCAATCTGAACAGACAGTTATTGAATACATCCGAGCGAGCAATATTTTTGACCTAACTGACTCTGACTCTCACCCCCTACACCAATCTCATCAGTCCCCTTCCACTCCACCTGCTTTCTGCACGATAAACCAGAATGAACCCAACTCTCACTAGCGTGTAGCTAAGAAGGCTACTTGATAACAGCCCCACCCCACTCACTCACCAACAATAACCCTTCGTCCCTCTTTCTTCTTCTCCAATCAATCTTTGAAGTTGAATGGACCCCGAGAAGGGCAAGAAAAATAAGAAGGGAAGAAAGTATATGCGTATCCGGAGTAATCTTACTGCCTCGAAAAGGGTAATTTACCCGTCATGATATCCAATACCGTTACCGGATTACCCCCTCCCCATCCACCCAATCCAATCTTCCCCCCCTTCGGTGTGAATCTTGTCTCATTCTAAAAATTTCCCATTTCTCGGTTCCTGTCCCTTGGATGTGATGGATGGGTCAACTTCCCCCCTCCTCCTCGGATATCGACTACCGTAGCGAGCTTAGTCGGGACTCAGTGCTACCTTGGTCCGCCGACGCTTGCCCAGCTGCGGTTCCGAACTTTCTTTCCGGACCCTGAAGATCGCAAGGGTCAGGCGCTCGCTCAACTTCGATTTTTGACGAGGAAATTGTGTGCGTGTGCTTGGCAGGCAGTATTATTGTTTACTCAGCGGCATTGAGGATCCGGACCAACATTCGGTAGTTGTTGGAACGAACCAGATAATATTCTTCGGTCTGAACTACGTAGATCTATTGTTTTTTTTTTCTTTCTCTTTTTCTCCATAATGTTGTATCAAAAAATAAGGGTGTTTTTGTTTTTACTAATGATGTTGCATATGCTGTATGTACTATGTACTGCAGCAATCAAGCGACCGACCGACCCTACCCGACTGAACCGCCCCTTATCACTCTCCCTCCACCACCACCACCACCACCAAGTCCCCTGCCAACCCGGGATTCCCGCAGTCGCTGTTTCACTCCAATCACACCCTACATTTTGTTTAATCCCTTTGTATTGAGTAAGAGCTCGCTGCAATGAACAGCTGGTCCGAAGCGAGCTCTGAGACATCACCTATAACAAACGTATACTAAAGATAGCTAGTTAGCTAGTAGCTAGCTATCTACCCAGACTAGCAGTAGACCAGGACCCTGTCTCTTCTTTTCTTAGATACGTCGTATCTAAGATCCAAGCCATGTCTCTGATTGTGTGCGAGCGCGTGAGAGTGGCGCACACACACC